TCGGTGTTCACAAATGGCAAGTCACACGGACTGCCTTTGTCAAAACGGGAGAAAAAGGCATTTAGTTTATTTGCATACTCTTCGTTGTCAACACATATGTTTGTTGGTTTATTTTTGTAGCCCACTATGGTCTTAACCCCAGTCCATGTCTCTCGAGAGTTATTTGAACGAAACAGATCTTCCAGAGATGTTTGCCAAGGGCTCCGTTAAGTAATCACAGATGTGTCGATGATTTGGGGGGGGGGGGCGGATAGTGTCATGCCAATGAGGATTTATTCATGGAAAGAGATGGGTTTTACGATGAAGCCATCTTTCAGCTAATGGAAGTGCGCGAAATTAATTATTATATCCAGAGTGTTCAGAAAGGCCTGACAATGAAGTAAAACAGATGGCGACAGCGTATGTCACGTCAAAGTGAACAAGGACTCGTTGGACCATACTGGTTCATGGATGATCGCAATAGTAAAAGTGACAGCAGATTGTTATCTGAAGATTCTTATTCTATTGGGTTACAGAACTGGAAACGACGGTAGTTTCAACAAGAGTGAGCTACATCTCTAAACACCAGAGCTCGGGTCATTGAGTGGATCCAGCATCACCTCGTACAGAATATTAGATCCATTGTGGGATATACCGTCTCCCTAGACTCCACGTAGTCCAGACATAAACTCGATCCGTTGGACTTCCATTTATGGGGATACTTCAAGGAGGTTATAAATAGAATAGTCCTAATAGCAGAAGATGAAAAACACCTACGGGATCTATCAAATGTCATCGTACAAGAGAGTAACAACATGGGCCTAAGCCTAAACATAAAGAAAACTGAAACGATGGCGATAAGAAGAAAAAACTCCAACCCCAACCTACAATATCAAAATCAATGGTACCACCCCCAAGCAAGTACATTTAAATATTTGGAGACCATTATATCATCAGATGGGAGATGTCATACCGAAATTAAAAGCCGCATTTGCCAACCAAAAGCAACCTTCCACAAAATGAAACAATTACTTGCAAACATCAATCTGTCACTGGAAAAAGAGCTCTGAAAAGTTACATCAAGCCAGTACTATTATACGGGGCCGAAGCATGGACAATCAATAGACAGCTGGAGAGAACAATTTAGGTGACAGATTTGTGATTCATAATACGCATGCTGCGTATCCCATGGACAGCTAGAAAAACAAATGAGGAAATCTTGGTTGAAGTAAAATGCAGACGACAGCTTCTGACGAATATACGAAAGCGACAGGCAAAGTTCATTGGACACACAATGCGGACAGGAGCATTGGAGAATATTGTAAAAACAGGCAACTTTGATGGAAAGAGAGGCAGAGGCAGACAGAGGGAAAAGATACCGGACAAGTTGACAACATGGCTGGGAACTACAAGAACGACAGACACCATCGCTGCTACGCAAGACAGAATGAAGTGGAGGTCCATGATCGCCCACGCCAGTCAGCAAGGCACCGGATGATGATAATGATTTTAAGGTCCTCAGGATACCTTCAAGATCAGATGGATCGCTACAAAGGAGGTTATAATATTATATTTGTATGTCTCTGAGATGCAGACTTTTCCCAACTTTCGTGCACTGAAGCAAAGCATGGAGCACCTTTTTCACGCGAGTATCACGTTAACAAAATGTTTCATGTCAAGAAACATTCTGAAATGTCAAAACTACCTCGTTTATTATCCAGTTTAGAATCAAGGGAAAGTGTGGGTCGTCACAGCAAGCCTACGATGATTGGGTTTTAAAAAATCGATTTTCAACGGTATGCATTTTCCGACACGTGAGTATCTTAGGAACCGATACTGCTGTAGATGTCTCCCTTTGGAAATAATATTTTAAAATCTCCAGTACACTAGAGGCATTCTGACAAGGGTCCGCTCCTAAAAGGTTGGCGCCTTTTCCCCCAAGTAGCTCATTAATTATCTGGTAATTAGACAATGGCGACAACAACGTTTCCCGGCTTGACCCTATCGTGTTAAAGTTTAGTATCGTATTAACCCGCAAGCTTATCTTTTTCTAAACCCTAGAACAATCTAGAATGACGTATTTTTAGCAGTTTGAGTTTAAATTTGGAAAGATTTAATAAGTGAAAATTTACACTGACAGAACCTTCACAATTTAAAAAAATCACTGGTGATATCTATACATAGAAATTGGTAGTATCATCATCACCATCCTCATCATCATCCTCATCACCATCATCAACATCATCATCATCATCATCATCATCATCATCATCATCATCATCATCATCATCATCATCATCAGGCTCACCTTGGCAGGCATTTGATAATGCAAGGATTGTCACGGCGGCGAACACAAACATCTTTTTCGTCGTCGTTTTCGTCTCCTAAGAAGAAAAAAAATTGACGATTGGTAGAGGTAGATAACGAATGGTAACAGAACACTAACCATCATACGCTGATAGAGGTTTAGATTTCCCTGTTCCGTTTTCTATTTGTGCCTTGCTTATTTTGAGGTCCGTTTTATCGTAAAAATAAAATAAATTCAGAAAAATGAATAGATAGATATGAGTTTTTAACGAAAGGAAACAAAAAAGACGTCAATGAATAAATAAAGATATCAACGAGTTTCTATGTGCAACAGAAAGTGAAACAAACATAATGATGGTTGCTGTACGATTGCATAACACATTTTATGTTGCTGAGAGATTTTTCAGCATTCGTCACATTAAACAAAAAAAGAAGAAAATTACTATTATCGTTATTGCTGGAGTGTCCGCCTTCCATCTTGAAAAGAAATGAAAAAAAAAAACATGCTTGAGAGCATATCTGTAAACTACGCACACCATAGGTAGTGAGTGGTGCGTGTGATAGACAAGCACATTTTTTTAAAACAACCAACAACAAAAAACTCAACATAGCAAACAAACGACTTGGCAGTGATTTCGACTCTTTGAACTGAAAATTAAGTTCTGTTTCTTTTTCGCCATAAAAAAGTGGGTCATTTTTCCCACAAATGCCACCCAACGGAGGTTTAGCCTTCCACAGCGGCACAGAATGTGCCATAATGTGAAAGTTCGAGGTTCGAATCTAAGTCACGTCGGAGTTACTCATTTTTCTCTATCCAGGTATTTCCCCACAGCACCGGTGTTCTAAAGTGGCCCAGGTGTTCCGCCTTAGAAATGAGCAATTTCAGGTAAAAAAAAGAATGTGAAACTGATATTGATAAGTGCAACAACAACGGTGAAAAAGGATGTCTGTTTGAACATACCAAATAGAACTCACTTCTCTGGGAAGAAGAAGACTCAGAGGGGAAGCAAGGGACACTGAGCTCTCCTCGAAACGGAAGCCAGAGGAGTGTATTTATTTGTACCACGTCAGAGGCTCCGCCCTTCGGAAGGCGGGGCTAGAACTGCTGCTGTGAAATGATTGGATGATGATTGATTGGAGAATAGTGTAGGCGGGAAATTTCAGGTTGGGTGTTTAAGTAGGGGGTGGGGATGCGGAAGAGTAACAACGTTTTAGTCTGTGAATGCTTTATTATTAATTTTTTTAATGAAAGACTGATCGCGCCCTTTAAGTGAAATCTAAAGTACTGGCACAAAATGTTCTTTGTTCTCCCGAAATTGTCATGTTGTGTCGCTGTTAAAATGTTTTACACCACCTAAAAACAAATCAAGCATGGAAATTCCTGTTGCTATAAGTTGATCAATAAATGTGTACCTTAGCTCCCCCTGGCCTCAAACCTTTTTACATATTTTTTGGGGGGGCATAACTTGTGTTCATTTTTGTCATTATATATATATATAAGGTCCATATGGACCTGATCATTACTGTCGTTGTTGTTGTTGTTTTGTTATTGTTGTGACCGTTGTTGTTGTTGTCGTTGTTGTTGTTGTTACTGTTGTCAACGTCGTCGTCGTTATTGTTGCTATTGATGATGTTGTTGTTGTTGTTGTTGTTGTTGTCCGTCGGTCTAAAAAAGTACCCATCCGTCTGTTTGATCGCGTTTCACCATAGCTATGTATAAAGAAAAAAGGTCACCATTTAAAAATATAATTCGGGTGCTAGGCAATCATCAAAGAAATCGTGTCGAACCATATTATTTTTGCAGTGGCCTTCATTAATAGGGTTTCAGATTCTTTTGGTCATCCAGGTATTCTATCCTTATTCCAAGAGATATTTATTTTTATCCCGTTTTAACCGCGGGCAGATGAAAATGAACAAGCTATTAAAAAATATACCTCTCTCTCCCTTTCTCTCTCCCTCTCTCTCTCTCTCTCTCTCTCTCTCTCTCTCTCTCTCTCTGGACGAAGCGTACATTACAATATGTCTGACAACAGACCAAAGTATATTGCAATAGTTGCGATACATTTCGAACCATTTCACACAAATCGAAAACACAAATTTGCATATTCCGTAGCATACATGTTGCTACTTGGCTTTTCGAGTTTTAGATAATGAAAAGTGAATTGAAAAACCCTGTTTAACAAGGAAGTCACGCTTTTTCAGGCCTCGTTTTAAAAAAAAAAATTTAATTAGCAAACTTAAAAACTTAGTTAAACTTTCATCAATTAGTACAACTCGATGACTCAAGCAACATTTGACTTTTACGTTCATACCTATGCATTAATCTCTTAGCTTTGGCATAAAACAAAAGGTGACTCACACCAGCGTATGTAATTTATACAAGTGCATATTTTATACTGGCGATTTAAAAAGGTATCAAATTTTAATTGTGTATAAAATCTAGTCTTCTGGGCCTTTAGGCTTTTCCTTTGACATGAGTAATACCAGAGACCTAGCAATTTCCCAAACTGTACTGTCTCGTAGCTAGGTCTCTGGTTATACTAAACTCTAAAAAGTAGGTCGTGTTATAAAAATAACGTTTTGCTGCTTGAATTAGTGTTCCCAGCACCTATTTGAAAAAGCAGAAAATTGTCATTTTTCCCCGATCAAGTGGTGTTTTTTTTCCACAAAAAATGTCTGTTATAATTTATTTTTTTTCAAATAAAGTTTAAGTCTGTGTTTATAAGAATAGCAACAGCCTTTGATCATTGTCACCCATGTTTAACTCAACATCTGAGAAACCTAGCCATCGGCATGCTCCGCGCTAAAGAAAGCGTTTCTGCTGTTGTCATGGGATTCAACGTCAGCTGGCTCTTCGGTAAAATTCCTGGAACAGTCCTGGTGTATCAGTCCTGAGCTGTATCCATGGGCAACCAGCTCTGGCTCAGCCTTGAACAAACCTAATTGCAACGTACCTTCTTCTCTCAGCAGGCTGCTGGTTTTTCTACTGACGTTGAATATTCTGGAAATATAAATAAAGTATAATATATTTTTTAAGAAAAGCAAAGCGTAGAATATGATAGAAAAACATTCGCCACCTGGTAGGGTAAAATGGCAATTTGCAGAGTCACGCACCATCCTGGTTTTCATCAAAAACAGCTCGTTTGATACAGGTCTTCTATAAATGTTTCAACTGAGCTACCTCAGCAATAGAACACGCACCAACTTTTAAGAAAGCTGTCTTTTTAAAGCTTGCTTGATTCACCTGTAATCTTTCAGCACTCTGTGATTAGTGCTTCCCTCCAAACCGTTAATTTCTGAGTTTGAAGAGGGTTTTCAGAAGAGTGGGTGATTTTTGCGAAACCCGCCCTGTATAGTTGAAATAAACATCCAAGACGGCCACCCATTGTCGAGGATAAAAGTGGTTGTCTTATATACGGGGTGTCCACTACGGATGGGATCGGCCGATCG